GAGGTCCCAGGGTGTAACTGGGAGGCACTGGTGTGGCACTGGGAGGTTCCAGGGTGTAACTGGGAGGCACTGGTGTGGCACTGGGAGCACTGGGAGGTCCCAGGGTGTAACTGGGAGGCACTGGGGTGTCACTGGCGGGCACTGGAGTTACACTGGGAGCACTGGGATGTAACTGGGAGGTCCCAGGGTGTAAATGGGAGGTTCCAGGGTGTAACTGGGAGGCACTGGTGTGGCACTGGGAGGTCCCAGGTTGTAACTGGGAGGCACTGGTGTGGCACTGGGAGCACTGGGATGTAACTGGGAGGCACTGGTGTGGCACTGGGAGGTCTCAGGGTGTAACTGGGAGGCACTGGTGTGGCACTGGGAGGTCCCAGGGTGTAACTGGGAGGCACTGGTGTGGCACTGGGAGCACTGGGACCCCCCGCAGGTGATCGTGCAGCGCTGCCTCGCCGGCCGCTCCCTGACCCACGTCCGGGCCGGTTGCGTCGTCTGCGGGTACCTCAAAGTGCTGCCCATGTTCCTCATGGTCCTGCCCGGAATGGCCGCCCGCGTCCTCTTCCCAGGTCAGCCCCTCCCACCAAGATGGCCGCCAAGATGGCCGCCGGGGTGGCCGTCGAATGACGTGAGCCGCCAACATGGCCGCCTGGTCAATATGGCCGCCCGATGGGGCCTTGCAGTAAGGTCACGTGGCCACTCAAGCCATATTGGGCAACCATCTTGGATATTCACTAGGGCGGCCATATTGGGCGGCCATCTTGGATATTCACTAAGGGGCCATACTGGGTGGCCATTTTGAGTGTTCACTGAGGTGGCCATATTGGAACCCATCTTGGGCAGCCATCTTGAATATTCACTGGGGTGGCCATATTGGGCGGCCATCTTGAATATTCACTGGGGCGGCCATATTGGGTGGCCATCTTGGATATTCACGAGGGCGGCCATATTGGTGGTCATTTTGACTATTCACTTGGGTGGCCACCTTAAATATTCACTCAGGTGGCCATATTAGGTGGTCATCTTGGGCAACCATGTTGAATATTCTATTGGGTGACCATATTGGGCAGCCATCTTGGATATTCACTAGGGCAGACATATTGGGTGGCCATATTGGGTGGCCATCTTGGATATTCACTGGGGTGGCCATATTGGTGGCCATTTTGACTATTCACTTGGGTGGCCATCTTGAATATTCACTCAGGCAGCCATATTAGGTGGTCATCTTGGGCAACCATGTTGAATATTCTATTGGGTAACCATATTGGGCAGCCATCTTGATTACACTACTGGGATGCCATCTTAGATTGTCATCAGGGCAGCCATATTGGGCAACCATCTTGAATATTCACTAGGGTAGACATATTGGGTGGCCAGATTGGGCGACCATCTTGAATATTCACTAGGGTGGCCATATTGGGTGGTCATTTTGAGTGTTCAGTCAGGTGGCTGTATTGGGAAGCCATTTGGAATATTCTATTGGGTGGCCATATTGGGTGACCATCTTGAATATTCACTAAGGGACCATATTGGGCAGCCATCTTGAATACACTACTGGGATGCCATCTTAGATTGTCACCAGGGCAGCCATATTGGGCGACCATCTTGAATATTCACTAGTGCAGCCATATTGGGTGGCCATCTTGAATATTCACTAAGGGGCCATATTGGGCAGCCATCTTGGATATTCACTAGGGTAGACATATTGGGTGACCAGATTGGGCGGCCATCTTGAATATTTACTAGGGTGGTCATATTGGGTGGCCATTTTGAGTATTCAGTCAGGCGGCCATATTGGAGGCCATCTTGGGTAACCATCTTGAATATTCTATTGGGTGGCCATATTGGGTGGCCATCTTGAATATTCTTTAGGGTGGCCATATTGGGTAACCATCTTGATTACACTACTGGGACGTCACCTTGGATTGTCACCAGGGTAGCCATATTGGGCGACCATCTTGAATATTCACTGGGGTGGCCATATTGGGTGGTCATCTTGGATATTCACTAGGGCGGCCATATTGGGTGGCCATTTTGACTATTCACTTGGGTGGCCACCTTAAATATTCACTCAAGTGGCCATATTAGGTGGCCATCTTGGGCAACCATGTTGAATCGTCTATTGGACGGCCATCTTGGATACTCATTCGGTCAACCATCTTGGGCGGCCATCTTGAATCTTCTATTGGGAGGCCATATTATCTCAAATCCTCCACTGGGAGGCCATCTTGGATTGTCACCAGGGTGGCCATATTTGGTGGCCGCCTTGACTACCCTGTAGGGCGGCCATCTTGAATAATCACTATTTAATACTCATCTTGAAGAATGACCCCTCCTCCCCCTTAACCCCCCAAATTCCCCTTCCGGTGCCGTGTCGGGGTCTGACCCTCCCTCCCTCTCCCCCCCCCAGAGGTCGTGGGCTGTGCCGACCCCCAGGTCTGCGCCCGGGCCTGCGGCTCCCCCGTCGGCTGCTCCAACGTGGCCTATCCCCGGCTGGTGCTCGGCCTCCTGCCCCCAGGTAGGTTATTAGTGGTTATTAGGGCATTATTAATGCTTATTAGGGGTTATTAATCCTATTTGGGGGCTATTAATCCTATTTTGGGTTATTAATCCTATTTCGGGGCTATTAATCCTATTCTGGGTCCTATTAACCCTATTTTTAGGGCTACTAATCCTATTTTTGGGGTTTTAAATCCTAATTTTGGAGCTATTTATCCCATTTTTGGGGCTACTGATCCTATTTTGGAGCTATTAATCCCATTTTGGGGGCTATTAATCCTATTTGGAGGCTATTAATCATATTTTTGGGGCTATTAATCCTATTTTTGGGGTTTTAAATCCTAATTCTGAGGCTATTTATCCCATTTTTGGGGCTACTGATCCTATTTGGGGGCTATTAATTCTAATTTTAGGGCTATTAATCCTATTTTGGGGCTATTAATCCTATTTTTTGGCTATTAATCCTATTTTTGAGCTATTAATCCCATTTTTGGGGCTATTGATTCTAATTGGGGGCTATTAACCCGATATTGGGCATTATTATCCCATTATATATTATCCTATTTTTGGGGCTACTGATCCTATTTGGGGGCTATTAATTCTAATTTTAGGGCTATTAATCTTATTTTTGGGGCTATTAATCCTATTTTTTAGCTATTAATTCTATTTTGGGGCTATTAATCCCATTTTTGGGGCTATTGATCCTATTT